TTTATTTTATCGCATAACTCCAGAATGCCTCGGATACAGTGTTTTCATTTGATTTTAATATACCTCTTTGTATTCAGCTGTGAACATATTGTCCGCTCATATATAGCCTGCAATCGGTTTGCCGCCGTTTGCTATCCGCTTCGGTACTTTATTTTTTGCGCTTTCCATGAAGCAAGAATCATGAATAGTTTGCTTCCTAATGATTATCGTGAGAAAGTAACGTCGAGAACTGTCACTGTTCCTAAAACGTGTAACCACTTGAGCTACCTCCAAATGTTTCTACCTCATACTGATAGAAAATTAGGCTGAAGATCCGATTTTTGCGTATTTCTTCAGTAAATAAAGAACAAAATTTCCAAATTTTGATTGTCTTAAAATATTTGCCTTTCTTTAATAGTTGAAGTGCAATAAATGAAGCTCAAATATTAAGAAATTAGTACCAATAATCAAATTTTTAAAAGTGTTAGTCTAATAAAGCGCATCTCAAGGAATTTCTGATCACTACCACCTTACCTCTCTAGCAACCATCGGAAAGAAAGAGCTATCGATAGTCTTTGCAAGGATTTGGTTATTGCTGCTATACGTACGAACATTCAGATTACTTCCTGAGTCCTTTTGCCTCTCATAGAGAGCAAATTGTGGAGGAGTGTGGAGAAAGCTTGAGCTAGTAATTTCTTCACGAGACGCAGCAAACGCCACGTGTCACGGATGTCTAGCGAAAAGCCGGAATGTATTCGAACAATGCGCGTTACTTGTGGGAGCTTCATTAGCAGTTAGAGGATGTGTATGCGAGTGGCACGTATACAAAGTACAAGTGCTTTGGTAATGTACAGCATTTCGGTGGTACAGTGGTTTAGCACTGCCGTGTACGAATGTGAAGAGGAGTGGTTCGATACCCTGCACAGTTGCAGAACGGTGCTATGAATCGCAACTTTCTGTTCGTAGGTGTCTGTTTGATTTAAAAAAAAAAAACATGTTTGCAGACTTAAAGCAATGCACAATAAATACAGTGTAATTGGAGTGCTAGTTTTAGCGAGTGCTTTTTCAATTCCATTCATCGTTGTCAATGCGTTTT